GTGATTCCACAGAATAGCAATACAGATTCTGTTGAGCCATATTCGGCTCCAACATTAAGTGATGCACCAGAATCCTCTCCAATAAGCGATGTATCATCGAATATAAATGAAAAATTGCAAGATGAGCCCACGGGACAATATGGAAACAACGAAGATAGTGTTGCGAGTCCAATAAATTTCAATACAGATTCTGTTGATCCATATTCGGCCCCAGCATTAAGTGATGTACCAGAATCCTCTCCAACAAGCGATGTATCATCGAATATAAATGAAAAATTGCAAGATGAGCCCACGGGACAATATGGAAACAACGAAGATAGTGTTGCGAGTCCAACAAATTTCAATACAGATTCTGTTGATTCGGCCCCAACGTTAAGTGACGTACCAGAATCCTCTCCAATGAGTGATGCATTGCCGAATATAGGTGAAAAAATACAAGATGCCGCTACGGAACAGTATAGAAACAACGAGGACAACGTATCGAATTTTAATTCAGATTCAGTTAATCCGACATTGAGTAACATACCAGAATCTTCTCCAATTGATGACGCATCATCGAAGTTAGACGAGGAAATTTAGAATATACCTACAGAAATGTATGGAAAAGATGACGGAACAATAACATTATCAAATTAAAGCACCGAAGTGATTGATCCGAATCTAACGTCAGCATTAGAAGATATACCAGCAACCGCGGACAGCCCAAGGAATGATGATTTTGATGTGTTTTCCTCCACGTCGACACCGGCGATTTCGCCGCCACAAGCAGCTGTCGATCACTACAGAAGGATCACTCGAGGCTATTCCTTCAATAAACAGTAAACCTGCTGACGCCAGCTTATCTAAACCGGATGAGGTTGGAAGTGTTTCTACGCAGTCGTCACCTGAAAATACTGACTAGTTCTATTTAACGCAGACGACGAGATCCACTTTGAGCTCGACAGAAATAACCGCATCGATGAATATCGCAACTACAATCCCTTCTGTACACGATCCATCTATTTCAGACACCGATCTGGTAACGTAAAATGGTAAAGATAACATGGAAGCATCTGCTCCCTTCATTGAATAAGATCCCGTATAAATATACGTGTACCTTAAATAGATTCATAATACACTTCCGTTGGAGATATGGATACATCGTTGAAAGGTACATGTACATATATACATAAAATATGAATACTGTAAGTAGTTAAAGTAATAATTTATTATATAATTCATAATTTAATTCCCGTTTCTGAGGTAGGCATGAATAATATATACAGTATATAAATTCATTTTCCTATACAAGGTATAAAGAAGAGAAGTATTTTACAAAACGGGAAATAATAGTAACAAATATATACCCTCTTACCGATTTACAGTAATCATGTTTGTGCTAATTTGCATGTTCTAAGTCTTATTGCTATTACACGTTCTCTTTCTCTTGCTCATTAACGAGTGTGTAATACACCCCTTTCCGTTTAATCAATTCCGAGTGTGTGCCCATCTAAGAAGAAAAAAGGTATTATTTATACATTATATTATCTATATGAATCGTAATAGGGAGGTGACGTTAATTGTATTAATTGAAGCGCACCTCCACAATGACACCGCGTTGTAACACGACAATTACGTCAGCTCCTTTAACGGTGCTCAACCTATGAGCGATCACGAGCACCGTTCTACCCTTCGTAACATTTTCGATTGCTTTCTGTACGATTCTCTCGCTTTCGTAGTCCAATGCGCTAAACACAAACAAATACATAAACGTCAAAAGATTTTGTCAGAAAGCTTTCGCAATCTCATCGCTGTTACCTTGTTGCTTCATCCAAAATTAAAACGGACGGTTGTTTCAACAAGGCCCTGGCGATAGCAACCCGTTGCTTCTGTCCACCGGAGAGCTGCGTGCCTCTCTCGCCAACTTCTGTCGCGTAGCTGTCGGGAAACTTTGTTATGAACTCGTGCGCATTTGCTTCTTTAGCCGCCTCGATGACCTACATTGTTTAAACCAGGTAAAATATTGTATAGCGCTCACATTAATTTCAACACCTAATTCCCACCTCTTCATCTGTCGCGCATGGTCTACCGTATCTAATATTCTCCATGACGCTGGTGGCGAATAAAGTAGGCTCTTGATTTATGTAGCCCAAAACACTGCCTCTGAGATAACTCGAGTTAAGAGATCGGATGTCTCGACCGTCAATAGTAATGGAGCCTTCGTCGACGTCGTAAAATCTGCGGCATAAAAGTTTACACAAAAGCGTTTGTAAACTCTTCAAGCACACACCTTGCTGCAGACCGTACCTCTCTAACAACACAGCCACTGTGGATTTGCCGTTGCCGCTAGTGCCGACAATAGCCACGGTTTTCCCAGCGGGAATGTGCAAATTGAAATTCTTCAAAATGACATGATCGCGCCTGGTCGGATAGCTGAAAGTCACATTGTGGAAGACTATACTCCCCGCCAGAGATCTATCCGTGATCGCGTCGCCGCCGGTCATCATTGGCGAAGGCGGCATATCCAGATACTAGAAGAAGATACAGCATCTAACTTGCGAGTCCCCTTTAATTTATATGAATAAAACCGCATCGTCCAAACGAGAGAACCACCTGGAAAACTCTGGCCCCCGCGCTTTGTCCCCTGACAAAGGTCCCGAAGAGCACCGACAACTGGCCCATAGACTTCTGTATGGTTTGCGTAGCCATCAAGAACGCCATGAGATTCCCCGGGGACAGCTGCCCCGTGGAGAGCAACTGGCCGCCGAAGTACAGCGTGGAGAGCAAAATGCCGTTGAGCAGCAGGTTCGTCCCCGCTTGGAAGAAGCTTATACCGACACCTAATCTTTCGTATAAGTCGGACGAGCGTTCGATCTCCGTGTAAAACATCTCCGCCTCCTTCTCCTCCGCGGCGAAGGCTCTCACCTGCGGCGAAAAGAAGCGAGTGCGAGGAGTGCGAAATCCAGACTCCTGTGGGATACCTTCGCGGTCGTTTATCTCAGGTCTCTACCGTTCGGATGTTTTGTATAGCTTCCTCGCACACGGCGGTGGATCTCGCGACCTGATTCTGCGCGTCCATCGACAGCTTGCGCAGGCTCCTACCCAGGAGGGTGCCGACGAAAACGATCGGCGGCAAGCTCAGTACCACAAGGGTGGTCAGCTGCGGCGAGATCACTATTACAGAGACGACGCAACCGGCGATCTGCGTGAGGCTTCTCAATCCTTGGGAAATGCAAGTCTTAAACGAGCTCTTAAAGTCTTGTATATCGCTGGTCAATCGACTTACTATTTCGCCAGAGCGCGTCTTGTCAAAGAACGCTATGTCTTGCGTGATTACCGACTTGAACAAGTCCTGGCGCAAGCTCACCGCGACCCTCTCGCCGACGTGCGAAAGAGCGTAAATGTACACGAAGGTGAGGAACGCCTGGAAAGGTGAGCGTTAGAATTTACAGGCAAGTGGGACAGATCTCTGCCGGCCTTGACTGTGTGTCTCTTAATCACCGGCGACTTACCAATTCCGAATAATCTAGCTTACGTACTTGTGCGACGTACATGCGGCCCAGGGCGAGGGCCGGTTGGGTGAGCCGCGAGATGACCTGCTTCGCAGACTCGTTTTTGTCCCGGCATATCTCCGTCAGCACATTTATGACGCTCCCAACGCACTGCGGTATTTGTATATTCAACAGTGCAACTATCAACGCACTCTACAAGTATGAATTGCCAGTATGTAGTTTGCAACAATGTCGGGGTTTAACGATTACTCTCGCGCGTTTGTGGATACTCACTGACAGCGCCAGCAATAAATACCAGACATGCGGGTACAAGTACTTGAACAATTTCGCCCATTCGAAGGTCAACTCGGTTAATTCGGGCTCGCTCGGATCGGCCGGACTCACGTCGCTTATTCTTTGAGCCGCTCTGCAGAGCACAATTCGATTGCGCGACCTTAAGACAGCAACGGCCGTCACTCCGAGTCCGCTGAGGCCGCATTTCAGGATGCACGAGGCGAGCTTCGGCTCACTCGCGCTCTCGCCGGCGCGTCTCTGAGCGAGCTTGGCGAACTCGCGCTTCGCCGCTCGCCATACGCTTTGGCTCCTTCCTGGCAGAAATGTGTTCTGCCTGCAACACCTAAAATTAATTCAGTTGATTAAGGTCAGGTCAGTTCGATCCGACATCTCGTCTAACGCGCGTCCCTCGACATTTTTACTCGTGTCGTACAATTGACTCTGCGCTCTTCAACCAAGTAGTGCAATCATTTATCGACCAATACTTTATTAACACAACGATATTGGCCTTTAAATAAAAACACTGGCCAGTGCAGGTAGTCTTTGCAAAACTACGTATCGTCGGTCTTACGTCACCGGCGACATTAAATCCACCGAGTTGAGTAAATCAATTAGCTCCACAAACCAACCCATCTATTTTCAATAGTCGTCCGCGCGCTACGAAAATAATTCGCAATTACCTTGAGATCGCAGAGCCGTTGTTGCGGCACGCGAACATCGCGGCGCGTAACACGGACATTCTTCCCGGTGTTCGCGTCAATCTCGCGCCGACACCTGCTAATTACACAGGCGCGTGTCCCGCGCGGGTCCCAGGTTCGTCAAATCCGCGACCGCGCGCATCGCAATTAACAATCGGCGGCGATAATCCTCGCCGGAGCACCGGTTCGCCCCCCGAGAAGGTTAGGCTAATAATAACGCGGCGAGCCAAGGGCGCCGCCATGTTTCCACGCGAGCCTCGCGGGCGTCCCTACAGATGGCGCGCTATGTACCGCCCGCCGGCACTTGCTTCCCGCGCGGGCGACTGAACGTTCGTCGCTCGTCGTCTCGAGGTACCGCGCGTTTCCAAGCGCGTTAACTGGCGTTAACTTGGCGCGGAAGCGAGACACGGTGAGTTTGCCCACGTTTGCGTACGGCGAGAAACCCGCCGCCCCCCGGCCTGAGCGGCTCGGCCGCGAGATCCGCGCGATCGGCGGAAACGGCGTCGCCGCGAATTCCCAATGGCCGCTTCGCGGCTCGCAAGGTGGTATTCGCTTATCTCGCGAAGGAAAAGGACACGCGGGGCGACCAGTGCGTCGCGCGCGACTTCCCCGTGTCTGGTCGCCGGGAAATTGTATCGGAAATTGTATCAGGCTCCCGGACGCTGCCGCGCTACTCCTCGCGTCGCCGCGCGCGGCGCGAAAGAAGACGGGAAGGAGTCGGTTCGCATCCTTCGCGTTCGAGAAGTCGGATATTGTCGCCGTTTAATCAGGGCCTCGCGCGGAATCGCCGCCCAGCGGGAAACGACGTCGAGTCGACGTCAGCTCGACGGCGCCGATGCCGATTCGATCGACGGCGAGAAATCCGCGCAACCGGGTTGATAAAACGCGCAGCGCGTCCGAGCGCGTTGACTTCGGGACGACATCGCGATGGCGACAGGCATAGAAACCGGGTGGACGCGCGGACATTCTCGCGGATGATCTTTCCCGGTCCACCGGTCGAGAAGGAAGGAGCGGGCTCCCCCCCCCCCGGGGGGAGGGGAAGGTTGTAATTTATCCGTCCGTGTAAAACTCGTCGCTGCTTCTCTCGTTTTGTTTCATTTTAATCGCAACTTCTCCCGGAAGTTTGCCACGTGCCCCGAGAACCGTCCCGTGTAACAGGAAAAAAAACGTCTTCCGCGTCGCGAGAGAGCGAAAACTTCGATCGGCGAGTTCGATACTCGTCGGTGGGACGAGGGGTTCGAAAATTGCGCCTTCGCGACGGACGAGAGGGGCGGAGGAGGGAGAGGGCGAGGGTGAATGGCGCGCGCCGCGCGCCGGGGCCTTAGAGGACCTAATCGCCCCGGCAAACTCTTTGAGCGACGAGCTAATGACGCGATTTATGTATTCGCCGCGTTTAATTGCTCGTGCGGCTATTAGCGCCACTCCGCGCCGGGGAGGCGCGGCATTTGAATGCTCGTACGCGGTACTGTTACTCGCGCGCGCGACGCAGACGGGGATGATTGTAAAGAAGTTGCTCCCTCGATTGCTTCCAGTTGCCTCCGCGATCCGACTCGGACAAATTGATCGGAAATTTGATGGGATATTTTTTTCCGGGCTGAAGAAACGTTATTTATTTCGCAAAACTGATATTGATTCTTCTTCGTCGCTTGGAAAGAAAGATCGAAATTTGGTAATTTTCCATCGGGCGAAATGAAGATGACCGTAAAGAAATGCTTCGCGTTTCTCATTGGTTCCGTGTCGTTTAATTTGAATGGATGATCGGAAGTTTTATCTGTGTTGAAGAAAAGCTATTTCGCGAAACTGATATTGATTGTTCTTCTACTTCGCTTGGAAAGATTTGGCAATAATTCTCAATCGGGCAAGACGAAAATGACTTGAAAGCAATCTCTGCTTGTTTTCACGGTTATTTAATTCGAAAGGATTGATCGAAAATTTGATGGAATTTTTCTGGGTTGAAGAAACGTTTCGCAAAATTCATGTTGATTCTTCTTCGCTTGGAAAAACTCAAAATTTAATAATAATTCCCAATCGGGCAAGACAAAAATAATTTGAAAGAAATCTCTCCTCGGTTTCGCGATCGTTTAATTCGAAAGGATTGATCGGAAATTTGATGGAATTTTTCTGGGCT